GGAGGCAGGCAGAAGACTGCGGCACAGCCCAGGCTGCTCCTGATGGGATGGGAGGACCTGGCACCCCGCACGGGGCGGCAGGGCAGGCAGCCCACACGCGGACAGGCGCTGGAGGTGTCTGACCGACCTCTGGCAGAGCATCTGTCTCCCTGTCAGTCCAGCCGCTGGCACCAAGGGGCACAGCAGCTCCCCGGGGTGATGGGGTGGACCAGCAGCTCCTGGCCAGAAGCCCCCCCGGACCCAGGGACCTGAGAAGGGAGAGGGGGTCCGCAGGCTGCCCGCAGCCCTGGGAGCTCGATGCAAGATCCCAAGCGCAGCTTCACGCAGGCAGGGAATTGCAGAGGTGGCCACGGACCATCAGCTGGGTTGGTGGCAGAGAGCTGGACCCAGCCCTGCGAGCGCCTTGGGACGCGGGGAAGGTCCGTGCTCTTCTGTGGAAGCAGTGAGGAGATGTTTGCTGCGTGTGCAGCCGAGCACGGAGAGTATTTAGGCGCCCAGCAGAGTCCCAGGCGCTGCTAATGGGCTCCCAGCAAGGGGGATGTCTGCGAGGATGACGGCTAACACCTAGCGAAGGCTCCTTGCTGGGCAAGATCCCAGCTTGAGCCTGAGGCGCCACAGGCCAGATTGCTGTGCAAATCCGTTCCCCGCAGGTGTCAGCCGGCAAGGAGCGGCTTGGGAAGATGGTGGCTCTGCAGACCTTGTCTGCCCGGCTGCAGGGCCCCCGCACTGGCCCTGCCTCCACCCTCGCAGAGTACCTGGGATGTCCAGGTCGTCCCCGTTCCTCTCGCTGTCTCCGTCCTCCTGCCCGTCCGCGTTCTGCTGGGTGTGCTGCAGGCTCAGCTTGTGGCAGACCTCGAACGCCTGCCCCACAGTCCGGACGATGCGCATGGCTTGGCTCTGCAGTGGGCAAGGAGATGAGACACGTAACCTCAGCTGCCCCTGCCTCGTGCCCTCCCCAGCCCGGCACCCGGCACAGCTCTCGGGGGTCTCTGTGAGCTGCCGCAGCGATGAGCACGGCCGCAGGCACCAGAGCTCAGATGGCTGCGGTGCTCGGGGCTGCTCGCCGAGACCTCCGAAGCGGGATGAGCACCCCAGCACCTTCACCTTCTTCTTGGATTTGAAGACGTTGCACCTGAAGACATTACTAGACCCATCCCTGGCAATGTAGCTGAAGATCTTCAGGTCCTGGGAGTCATGAGACACGTAGAATATCCTTCAACGACAGAAGGGAAGGGAGGACATCAATGCACATATTACCCACGTGCCCAGGAGACTGCCAAGGCCACAGCCAGCGCTTCCCAGGGCACAGGGTGCTGGCAGATGCCCAGCCTCTGCGGCACATCCCTGCTGAAGCCCATCACAAATGTTTTTGGCAGTGGTTCTGCCTCGGCTGGGAAAATTCACCTGCTGACTCAGCAGCAGCAAGCATTTTGCGAAGGCAGCAAGGGGCTTTCTCTGCTCAGCCCCCAGGGACCGAGCCGGCAGCCCAGGAGCCCTCCAGGGACCAAGGAGAGCAAAGCTCACTCCTCTGCCTTGCCAGTTCGGAGAGCCGGCCTCCTCGCCCGGGCACCTGCCCCAGCCAGCATGCCACCCCCTCCCCGGCACAGCTTTGGCCCTTCCTCGCTCCCTTTCGGCTTTCCCAGGACACAGATGCCCCACGCTCTTAGCTTTTGCCAGCGAGATGGAGGAAAAGAGCTGGGGACTCCCGGAGAGCACAGCAAGCGCAGGGAGCTGCCTCCATGGGGACGGTGCTGGCTCTCCGTGGTCGGTCCCCGGCACGGTGCCACGTGGGGTAAGCGGCATGGCAGAGCCATGCAAGCCTCCGTCCCTTCAGCGGGCAGGCTTACCTGTAGATGGGATCGTGCATGATGAGCATTTTGTTCTCGTCCCATGCCCATTCTTTTTTCTGCAATGAAAGAAGCTGAAAATGAGTACGTCAGACGCTGCCCTTGAGATCAGGAACCGGGCAGAGACAGTCCAGGGACAGCCCCAGGAATTGCTTGTCACAGTTCTGCTGCTGCTCCCCTGTAACCCTTTGCTGAGAGCCAGACCCTTTTGGGGCTGGCGTTGTCCCACACCACCTCCCACGGGGCCCCCAAGACCCTTCTACACCCGCGTCAGGACCAGCTCTGCCATCCTGCGGGAACACGGCTCATGCATGGCTGGCAGCAGCCCATCCCTCACTCTCCCAGCCCACCAGAGCTTCCCAGAAATTCCAGGACCCTGCAGGTCCCTGCACCACATGGTGAAGGCTTCCGCTGCTGATGCACCGCTGCCGCAGGGACCAGGGCTGCCTACCTTCTTCTTCTTCTTCAGAATGACCTTCACGCCATCCACCGACACGATGAGACTCACTTTCTTCTTCTTGATGTTCTTGGCTTTAAACTCATACTGCGGGGGCCAGAAGAAAACACCCGAATTAGCTTTGCTGTGCCCAAAAAGCCCCAGTGAGGGCTGCAGAGGCTCCAATGGGAAGGGGCGAGAGGGGCGAGGAAAGATCTCCCCAACCCCACGTGCCTCCCCAGACACAAGCAGCTGCCCACACCAGCCTGCGCATCCACGCCAGGACAGGACAGGGGGTCCTTTTTGCCCCGCAGTGTCCCCGTGCCCAGCATCGCAGCAGCACACCCCGAAGAGATACGGCCCCCGAGGTGGGGATATCGCTTTGCTCAGCCCAGGATGCTGCTGGGAATGTCAACTTGTGTTTCAAAGGCACCCGCTCTGCCCCTCCGAAGGGCTGTACCTCCCCGGAGAGGGACCGCCACCTCCCCGGCCCTGCCAGCCCCCAGGGCTCCACAGCCCGGCCAGGTTTGCCCCACTGGCTGTGGCCATTGCTGAGCTCCAGTAAGAGAAACCTCATTTTTAGGGGCTTGGTATAAAACTGAACACACTTGCTGAGCGCTCTGTGAACCTCTCCAGGGGAGACGGGATAATGCAATTAGCCACTTTGATTAGAAGTCACTGGACAGGAAAAACTTCAACAGGAACTTCCAAAGCTCAGTGACTGAACACAAAGCTCCAGCCCAGCCCCAGGGAGAGAACGAGATTCCCAAAATCCAGCCACTTTTGCATTTGGAGTCTTGCAAGCGGGGAGAGGGCCGGCAGGGGAACAGGCTCGAGGAGCCATCCAGGCTGAGCAGCCTCCTGCTATGGGACTTCTGGGGCGTCCCATAACTGGTCCACCACGGGCGCACCCACACCGGGTGCCCGGCGTGCTGGTCCCACAAGCAGGGTGCTGTGCACAGCCGTGGGGACGGACCCTCCGCCCCTGCCCAGCGGCAGAAAAGCCCCGCACCCTGCACCTCGCCTGCCCGAGGAAGAGGAATTTAATTAATGCTCTCATTATTTCCCCAGTCTCTCTGCAGAGGGAGCACAGGGCAGGCGCCCCGACGCAGAGCTCTGCCTCCACTCCACACCAAGCCTCCGAGTGACATTTCCAGCGCCGCGTGATCTATTAACTTTGGCAGCCAGAGCCAGCAGGCAGGAAAAGCTGCCGGCCCTGACCTGCGATCAGATGATAAAAGACCTGAAAACACAATTCCTCAAAGCCATTTTAAAGTCACCGATGGGGACAGGAGATACAGACGACTCCAAAAACAGCACGGGGGACGCAGCTCTGCCCTCCCTAGAGCACAGACCAGACAAGCTGTGCAAGCCCACCCGCTCCGGGGCTGAAGCCATCGTGATGGGCTGCAGAAAGCAGAGCTCAGGCTCCCACCGTGGCTACAGCCAGCCTCAAAATCCCCAGCACATACCCATACGCTGCTTGCAGGGCTTAGTCCTCGTGGAAAAGGGTCTCACCAGAGTCCCTCACCAAAGAGCCCACCGGGGTGGGTTTCCATGTCCCACCTCTCACCATCCCCCTCCACGTCACTACAAGCAGAGGTGAAACTGCATCCAAGAGGCTCCTGTCTGTGCCTTGCTCAGACACCAGACCGGTGCCGAGATACCAGCAGTGCTTCTGGTACCTAACGCTAAAGAAATGTCTTGATTTAGCCCTGGAAAGGTGAGCTCCAGCCTGGCTACCTTGGAGTAATTAACCCAACACCTTCTGAAGCTCTGCACATGATTTTTCCAGAAGCCACGGGCTGAGCTGGATGCTCTCTGCAGCACCCAGAGCAATTGTATGACACCTTGTGGAGCTGCAGTCTGATTTATTGGTCCTAACGATCATTGATAATAAACACCAAGCTGCATTTCTGAGCTGCTGGAGCCGTGGGGTTTCTATTCTGGGCCATCCCAAATGCTAATTAATGTGGGCTTGGAAAAGACAGCAACCCTGAAAAATATCTCAGGGTCAGAGAGACTATTTTTGCCTGTTTTTTGGGTGAGTAACAGCCCCAGGACAGCAACACAGACAGGCCAGGGCTTTTCAGTAAAGGTGCTCCCCAGCCCTGGCATAAATTTTGGGGACAGTATCAATGCAGAGCTCCTCGGAGAGGCTTCTGCAAGCCCTGGCTGCAGGCAAGGGATTCTGCCCGGGCTCATCCCGAGCCTGGCAGAGGGGAGTGCCATGGGGAAAGCTTTTTTGCCTCTGCCACGCTGAAGCCAAAGTCCCCTCGTGCTGACGGCTCAGGGCAAAACTCCAGCAAGAACCGATGGGAGCAAAGAGGTCAAAATCTCATGAGGGCTAAGTGGCCAGATTTGTTAAGCCCTTGCATAAATCCAGGCCTTTATCCTGACACAGAGGCAAGAACCAAGCTCCTCTGCAAGTCCGAGCCAGGCACACAGACAGCTATTGCACCTCCTGCCCCAAGCAGAGCTCGTTAGCGCAGCCACTCTGACGAGCGCAGACACTCTTTGGGATGCGTTTCCCATGCAACGAAGCGCGGCTCTAACCAATAAAATCCTACTGAACTCATGCCCACTGGGGCTTTAATGAAACCCTAACTGTAATTTAATAACATTTAAAGAGGGATTCAATAACACGGCCATTCAGCCGAGCCGCCTCTCACATGCCTGCGCCCCGTGGGGCAGGCGCGCTGCATCCCACAGGCCAGGAGATGCACTGCTGATTTTGGGGGGGCTTTCAAATTCGAGTTTGGGTAAACAGGTGCTAGACAGGAGGAAAAGGACCCAGGAGAGACCAGACTAAAAGAGTCCGCTGAGCCCGGCGGGGCCATCAGCATTATTCGTGTGCCGCTTGCCCCCTGCTCACAGCCACCGCGTGCAATTGGCTCTGCCTTGTTCTCAAGGCTAATTCAGCAAACCAGCGGGATTCCACCCAAAGCAGCAGCTCTGGCTACAGTCAACAGCAGCTTTAGGTTTGTGCAGTTCCTCTAAGCAAGCTTTGAGTCGCAGAGACTGTAAGGGACGAACTCAAAGCCGGACAGGGCAGAACCTGAGCTCAGACATCCCCGCTCATGGTGCAGCCATTCAAACCAGTAGCAGCGGCCACCAGCCCTGCTCAGTGCGCTCGCTCCAGCCCGGCTGTGCCGGGACGCTGCTCGCTGGCTACAGCAGGAGAAGGGCACATCTCACCACCAGCCCCCGTGTGCCCCAGCAACCCCCTGCAGCTCCCGGGAATGGCTGCCCGCAGCCGGCTGCTGGCCCAACGCTGCTTCTTTGGACCTCTCCCAAGCAACGGCCAGCCCCTTCCATCAGCAGACTACAGACACTAGCATGGGCTTTTTGTTACTGAAGACTGCTGGTCATCTCAGCTGGTCTCACAGACGTGCTGCGTGTCGACAGTACCTGCCCTTGCTGACACCTGCCCTGCAAGCCCACTTACTAACGGGGCCATGGGAAACCTCTCTGCGTACGAGCGATCCTCCCTGGCTTGGAGCGATTCTCAACCTCAGCTGCATCAGCCCAGGGCACGGACATCTGCCAGGTCTGCCCCTACTCATTAACACCCCTCCCTCTGCTGCGAAACGGACAGAGAAAGCTTAAGAGGGATGCAAAGCATTAGCGTTTTAGCTTTTCCTGTTGCTGAGAGGAGAGCAGAGGTGACGGCAGGGTTGGAAATGCCATCAAAGGGACTCTGAGACCGTCTGCACAACCACAGCAACTGCTGCTGCATCCAAAACCAGCAGGCACTGGCTGACCCACAGGAGAAGAAAACTCGCACGCTTCCAGGGACGTTGGACCAAGGCCATACAACCCTTGCAGAGAATACACCCTGCACACCCAAAGGTGTGCTAAAAATCACACCATCGCTGCTAACGAGCGTCTCACCGAGCCACCACAAAATCACATGCGAGGCAAAGCTAAAGTGGGGCTTCTCAAAGCCACCAGCACAGGACCCGCTCTGCTGCCGGGAGGGGACGGGGATGCCCAGGAGAAGCTTTGCTCCGCGTTGCAACAGGGGCAACAGGAGTGCCTCTGGAATCGGATGCAGGGAGCTGGGTGACAGCAATCCACCCTGTGCTCTCCGGACACGGCGCTCCCATCTTAGGATATCGATCCTGACTATTTCAGGAGAAAATCCACATTTCCCTCCCTTGAGGGAGCCAGGACGATAAGCTCAGCTACTGACGGCTCCAGCTTGGAGACATGAATCCCAGCCTTATGTTTAATAAAGAAATGATATAGAAATAATTATCTGGCTTGGGATCAAGTAAGGAAAGCAATTTCTGCTACTTCTCCATGATTCCCTTTGGTTTCACACCACGCAGCATTTCACCGTGTTACTTTAACTAAATGGTGTAATGGTCAGCAGAGCTTTCTTGGCCTTCAACCCAGGCAGTCTGTCCATCTTGGGCACGATTCTGGATCTTTTAAATATCTGCAATGATACTACAAGTTTGGGTTATATTAATTCTTGGATCTAGCAATGTGGCAATCCCAGAAGATAGATAAGAAATAATTTCAGGGAAAGGCACAGAAAATGGAAAGGGCAACAGAGAAACCCGTCTGTTCCTGGACTTGCACAGCTCCACAGTTGGTGAAGCTCTAAGCACTCTACTAAAATTATTAAGCAAAGATTGAAAGCGGACATTTGAGATATGGCAAAGCTAAAAAAAGAAATTATTCAAGAAAAAAAGTAAAGGTGGTCTTACTAATGAAAAAGAAGTATTAGCTCACTTGTAAACTTCAACCAGCTAATAAAGATTACCCCTTAATTTTAGACTGCCCATGAAAAACTATGTTCATCTTCTCAATTAGAAAAGAAACATCTGTTTCGACAGAGCATGAGAGCTGTACCATTGACCTCAGGTTAGTGGGAGTCTATTTTCAACATCTGTCTGTTATGCGGAGTTCACTATTTAAATAACTTTAGGTGGAAAATAATGCCAGCTGGTGCATGCATCGTTGCGCAACACATTCCTACTGGCAGAGTATTAAAGTTGCCCTTTCTCAAGAACAGAGTAACATATGCTGCTTAATAGAGAGCGCACGTAACCTTGTCAGCTTAGAGTAAAATTATGTATGAAGCTGAGTGTGGTGGG